TGCGACTCATGTAGAACTCGCAGCGAGGCAATGGAATTTCAAGCCACTAGGCAAGAGGTATATCACGCGTAGCCGTTAATTATGCTTAAATCTTCGAGCTATTCATTCTGTTCCACCCCCATCATTGCCGAAGTGGAAGTGCGTGGTCAGCAAACATCGGGCGCAAACATCGTTGAGTAGACGTTCTGTCACAAACAGTCCACGACCAGTGATCCCATTGACTGCCTAGCGGCGCTGAACCTGCGACATGGAAGATATGACTGGAATCAGTTTTTAGTTTTACATGGATATGTCTATTCATTCCTATGTATACTTCGTATATTAAGCAGATGCCTCGAATCAGAATGTACATGTTTGTTCTCCCGAAAATACCGCATTTGTTGCCTCAGCTGACCTTTCCATCACAAACTAGCTTAGACGCCCAGGCGCTTCAGTCAGAGATCAGCCGCTCCAAGTCCAGCTTCTCCCGGAGTTCTCCGACGCCGCAATTGTCACACCAATTCAACGTTACCTCGGTCTCAAGCCTCCTGCGGCCGTACTGTCCCGTCCAATACTCATGTCCTTGAGGCTGTGAGTAATCTCGGACCGACAATCCAGTTCCTTTGATTTTCTAGGCCCCACACGAAGATCATTATCAAAGCGCTATTTATTTTGGGCTTCGCCGATCACCATCTGACCTCCCTGCCGCTCAATTCCGAGATTTTCTCTCACGCTCAAAATCCGTTGATAAGGGAGGGGCCGTCCGAAACCTTCTTTCGTTCTTCCCCCATCATCTCTTGCTCCCGCAATCCTTCCGTCTCTCTCCGATACGTCGTTCAACATGACTTTCTGCCCGGGTCAAGCCACCACAAGACCTCGCAAGTGTTCTTGACTCCAAAATGTCGGGTGACACCTCAAGGCGCCCAAACCCACTGATCGCTGGTCGCTACGTGTCAAGACGAACAAGTGCCGCAATGAGATTCCGCAACATTTCAAGCCTTCAAATTAACGTGGATTCTTCATGTTGCTCAACGTCTATGGGGCTCTTTCGCTCAGTTCTACCTACACAGTCACCAATACCCACAGCGCTCGCTCTGTCCAAGATTTTTCACGAGATTCAACCAATTCAAACTGGCTCTCAACGCTAGCTAGCGCTACAGCACCGACCATATGTACTGCCCCCGTTCCCGCCAGCGTATCTCCAGCGGTAATCAGGCCAACACCGAAACAGGTGTGTGCTACACACCTCTTTGCAGCCGGTAGCCCGCTGACCTCGTCAAGCTTTCTGTTTGGTACATCAAGATGCAGATGGCTTTCTTATCATTTTCGCCTCACGGAGGCTCGCTCGCTCGCCGCTCCCACGTGTCTGCGCTGCACCCGTTCAGCTCCACTTCCTATCAACAGCCAAAAGATATGTATACGTGCATTGAAAGCCCGCACCCCAATACTAATTCAGAACTTGCCCAGTGCCGTGTCCGCTCGTCCCGACACCCTCCCGCAGATCATCGTTCCGTACGGGCGTCCAGCAAGGAACTGTGTGGGAATGCGGTGATCCCGAGCTGTCGCGCGAACGATTGTTTTGCAGCGGTGCTTACAACCTTCATCTAGAAACTAGATGGGAGCGGTTGGCCACAGATTGGGTGAGAACAGGTATGTGCGTACCTGGCGGCAACACGCAAGCGCTGAGGCTTTTGCGCAGCGAGCTCGGAGCATTTGCGGTTGGATCGCCATGGAATACACTCACACATCATTGTCTGCGTAGAATAGATGTCATGGTAGCGAGGTTTGTCGCACTTCCCCGTCTCGGTGGCTCGCGCTCTACGGTATGCTTATCTGCGCCAACTCGCGAGAGCTAAAGAAAGGTGTGTCCGCTGCTGCTCTTTTGTTTTTGTCGACCCTGATGTTTCGCAGAGGTATACTTACACTGCTTCGGGATGCGCGGGATCCCGTTGGTTGACTCCACAGTATCGTGACTCGCGCGGAGCGTTCCCTGTGTAAGCCAATTCACTGATAGGGGTATTTCTCTTGGTTGTCGGTGTTGCGTGTTTTGTTTACAGGGCCACGGTAGCGCGTGGGGGCCTCATAGTATAGAATACTGTAGTAGTTTCAACTATTCCATTTCTTCTATCAACCAGCATCCGAGTTCGAAATAACTTCAAATTGGATGCAAATGAATCTACAGAAGGTTGACAGTCGCGCAAGTTGAATTCAGCCTCGCACTCTTAGGCATTACCGCCCATCGTACCGACAGCCAGAGCCATATCTTATATTGCTTGAATGATTTGACATTCGAGAAGTCAAATCTGAGAGGGCTTTGATTCATCAGTGTCGAACTTCAACATATCGTCAGGTAATCTCACATATGAAAGAATTTTTAGCATGTTCGCTTCTCTGCCGGAGCGAAGCGAAGGCATGTCTTGTATGTATGTACTAGTAGGTTTGTCGCTGGTGGAAGACTTGTAGCATATTGATGCTATCAAAAAACATTGATTTTCCATCAAAACAGGGCCAAAGTGAAAAACGGCTAGGCTTCATAGCTCATGAACAGATGCAGATTTCAAGATGGTTTAACTTGTGGATTCATTTGCATCAACAAGCACTACAATCTGGCCTTTTCACATTTTCCATTAAAAATTCCTGGAGTCAGTTGGAAAATACCATTTTGCGATTTGAGCGGTTATTAATGGGAAATCAGTAGAAATTGATCCCATCAATATGGTAGAAATGTTCCACCAGTCCGTACATCCGCCCTATATTTGGTTTTGTGTCAAAACAATGCACCATCATGGAGATATGGCCCCAAAACCCAGCGTCCATCACTTTTTTCTATAACGAGTATATGATCATGAAATATACGCTTTTTCTCTCGATGAGCGAAGGGCACCTGATAATTGTTGCTTAGAGGTGCCAGGCCCGTAGCATACGGTTGACGAGTCTATTACTGTACTATTTTCCAAGTGTTCAGTCACTGGTCACCGCAGCCGCTGAACTAAACACTTGGCAGATAAGTAACAGGTCCTAGTCATTCTGGATCGATGTTTTCGGCACAAAATTCGCCATCCTGGCTCTGGGGACTGGCTCTGGGGAATGCCCAAAAATTACCTGGAAATGCAATTTGAACACTTCATTAGTGAACACCTGAGGTCACTGGTCACACCCGGTGAACACTTGATTGAAAAAAAGAGCATAAGACCATTCACTATAAACCTTGCATAAGACAGAGGGTGCTAAGGAGGAACAAAGAGGTGTAAGGAATCAAGGGGGAATCGGGTTTTGGAAAACGGATATAGGGTCGATAAAATTTTCGACCTTGAGCCGTCCCTCCTTCTATATAGGGAAGGAGTTTCCCACCCCTAGTGCCAGGCCGGTAGTGCCGCGGTCTTCCGGGTCGAGCCGCTGCCTTCCCAGTCTGGTTTCATCCACTTTCCGCCACCCTCCTCAAGGTGAACCATGCTCATTTGTGCTATCCCATAGGTTTTAGGCCTATCTGAAACCTTTGAGCTCAAAATCCCCAGTCCAAGTCTTCTTCGGAGGTTTCTCTTTGTTTTAGTTTCTGAGCATCTGCCAGTGGCAATTGTCTTATCCACTGCTATCTGCTTTGCCTCTGCATTTGATCTACTCCTCAGAGCTTCAGAGCTTTATCTAGCATACTCCTAGCCTCCAAGCTAGGCGCATATTGATGCCGCAGTAGATATTCTCAGTCAGCTTGTAGTGTGGCCAAATCGACACTCAGCCACAGATTTCTGGTCTGAGAGGCCCACTCTTTATTGATACCGACTATCTTGGGGACTTGGAGGCTTACCCAAGTCCCTGTTACACCATTATAACCACTCTTGACTCGCCAGGGTCATACAACGTCGTCCCCAACAATAAATATTTGTGACTCCCTCTTGAGAGCCGTTACAAAGCACTCTGATGTCTCTTCCATCTCACGGCTCTACTTCTACTCCCTCACCACCAGCACCACATCTGAAAGCCCCACACAACATCAGCAGTACCATCACCGAGGACAATATCGTTCTCGGACCTCACACATGCAAATACGCCAAGCTGGATAGTGCCTATCTTGGGTATGCACTTGCCGTGGTTGCTGATCCCATTTCCAACAACCCACTCACAGTTGACGAGGCTAAGTCATGCCCCAACTGGCCTGAGTGGAAGAAAGCTATGGATGACAAGATGGCTCAATTATGCAAACTTGGCACATTTTTCCCATGCCCTGCTTCCCAAAGACAGGACAGTAGTTGCCTGTAAATGGGTTTTCCGCATCAAATGCGATGTGCACAGCTCAATTGCACACCACAAAGCCCGGCTTGTTGCCAAAGGCTTTTCCCAAATTCCAGGCATTGATTACAACGAACTTTTGCCCCCATTGTTCGGATGGAGACCATTTGGCTGCTATTCGCCCTTGCTGTGCACTATAATCACCTGCTAATACCAGAAAAACCCTCTTGTTAGACAGGCCATGTCCCCCCTATGGTGCATCTAACTAGAGTCGATGTAGAGGGATGTCACCCCCCTTCAAAACCCCATGCCCAATGGTTAGGGGGGGGGGGGGGGGTACAGGGGTGGACAATGTCCCTGCCACCCTTTGCAGAGCTTGCTGGAGGGACATGTTCACCCCCGCCCCCCTCCCATCCCCATCTCCCCATGGTGGTACATAGGGGACATGACGACTCGGGGAGGTGGGTGGTGGGAAGTATCGAAGGGGAGGGGGACACAGGGAAGGGGGACACCCTGTCCACCCTCACCACCTCCCCACTGAGGGTCAAGGGGACATAATGACTTGGACAGGTGGGTGTGGGAGGTATTGGAGGGGAGGTGAACGCAGGCAAGGGGGACACCCTGTCCATCCTCACTGCCTCCCTGCCGAGGGTCAAGGGGGATGTAACAACTTGGAGAGGCGGGTGTGGGAGGTATCGGAGGGGAGGGAGACACACACAAGGGTGACGAGTAAGTTACTCTTGAAAAATAGAAATATTCCAAAGGGGCTTGGATGCTGCAATGTGGAGGGAAGGAATGGCCCCATGGTGTAATGGTATGCATCGCTGCGAATGGTAATTTGTGTACCTCTCCAACTGGTATGCAGCAGGCGTGGGTTCAAATCCTACTGGGGCCATTCACATCTTTGAGAAGAGTTTCTTTTGTACTGTCTCAAATTGTTATGCAGGTCTGGTGGCTCAGCAGTAGAGTGTGCACCTAACTTAAAACCAGGCTAACGATGGTATATGTGCAAGGCGCCTGTTCAACTCCGGCCCAGGCCTTCCTCTTTATGATCATGGTTTTTTGGGTTTTGAATTTTTCACACTGCCACAACAAAAAATTAAATTAAATTGAAAAAAAAAAAAAACAAGGAGAAGGCAAAGCAATCAAAAAAAGATATCATCCTCAGTTATCATGGTCCCGGCATGAATTGAACATGCAACCTCTGGTGAAATACTTTCATTTGTGCACTATCATGAATGACTGGTGCTCTACTACTAAGCTACGGGACCATTGGCAAAGAGTAGTAATACTGGATGATGGTAAATTTATCTGGGATGATTTGTCAGTGCCTGTTGAATTTGAAATTTCTGGGAACGCTAATTAATTGTTCCACAAACCAGCCCAGAGCTTGGGATTGAAACCTGGGAATACAAATCCTTTGGTGCTCCAAATGACTCTCAATATCCACCATGCATTCTATCTGCCGAACAACTCAGATGTCAAGTTGCGCGAGGAGTATTCACAAATACGGACCCAAATATCTGGGTTACAACAACGATGGATCGGGTGGGTGGCATGGTTGTTTGCCCTCCTCTTGCGCTCACGTTAAACCAGTTTCCTGGTTCACTTGTTGGTTACGGGGGTGGATCTGAGACTGGCGACGTCGACGATGATTAAGCAAATGGATTTGATTGAGGAACGAAGAGTAGTGTGATCGGGGAAATACGTAATTATGGAAGAAGGTGCGATAGCGACGAACGAAGATAACGATGGCTGTAAGGCATTATTATTCTAATGTAGTGTTGCGTGTAGTTAGGTTGGAAGAGGAATGGGCTTGAATTCGCACCCGCCCGGCTCGTCGTAATTGCCCCAGTCCGTGATCTGGAGCGCGAGATCGGGGTTATTCTTGTGTCCTCAAGCCAATCTTGCTTGACGCCGGAGTTGTACGGAGCGTAGCGAGGAATACGTGTTGAGACCCGCCCCGCGTACACGCGATGGTACTGCTTGGAGTTACCTTTACCCCTCTTCTAGTAGCGGTTTTGAAGGGAGTGAACGAACTCGGTGTACTATTATTTCACGGATTAGACAACTGAATAGAAGGAGAGATAAAGGATCGAAATACCTGTTCGTCACGCCACCCAGGAACCAAGACTTCGAGAATTTGAGTGGCTTTCAAAGATGTAGGATCGTTCCGGAGGTTAGCGAGTGTCGCCAGACGAAACTTCCAGTCCTCCGGTGTTCAGAGTCGGATTCGGGACCAGAAACTTCGTCGGAGAGGTATTCGGGGTGAGTGGAGATGCGCAAGAACGCAACATCCATTCCGGTGTCTTCAGCGACAGCCTCCACAACCTTGTGGATCTGCTCAGATTTCTGCAAGTTCATTAGTGGAAACACGACACTCTGAATTGAGGAAACCACTTACCATGACCCTCCACTGAATGCGTCTATCTCGCTTCTCCTTTTCCTCCGCTTTCTCCCGGCCCTCTTCCGTTACTTGGCGATGCCACTGCTTCTTGTAGCTACGGAACGGCTGCTTCGCGCAGTGAGTGGTGAAGTCGAGGTCCCACGTGATGGGGTCCCCCAACGTCTTCAGACGCTTCAGGGCTTTCGGCCACGCGGCCTGGTCCTACGAACGCCAGTAATTAGAAAAAGATGACCGAAAGAAAGAAAGGAAATATTGGGAAAACCCACCACCAACACCCGTTGTGCGCGCTCACCAACCTTTCGAAACAGCGCACAATTATCGATGTTCAGAACGTCCGTACGCGAAGTTCGGGGTGGGATACTGATTTCCTGAATACTTGTGTAAGGGGAGAGACTATCCAAACTGTTACGGGAGTGATATAGGCAAGAACATATACATAGACATCGGCATGCAAGGCCAGAAGAAAAAAACCCGCATAAGCATGAGTACCTGCCGGGCGAAGCCACGGCCCTACACCCCAAGTAAAACTGCGAGCAGGAGGGGGATATCTGTCTGTGACTGTGTCTGAGTAGTGGGGAATCCTGGATACACCAGAGACTGCTTCAGGAGGAGTGACCTCCTGTCCTTGGCGTCGGTTGTAAATAGGCGACCAGAAGAAGTGAGTGCCGGAGCGAAAGCCCACGCAGAACACATTGACAGTTTGGAAGATAACCCAATCGGCTTGGTACTCAGCCGCGTACATCGCGCCCTGCAAAGTGCCACGTCAGAGGGGCATGATATGAACTCGCAGAGAACGCACCTTGTTTGCGATGAGCCAGCAGTTCGGTTGAGCTAGCGGAAAATCGGGACTACGGCCAATCTCGAGTTCCGCACCACACTCCACCCCGCGGGTGCACAGCTCGACGACAGCGGGAGGCCTGACCGCGTATGATAGCGGACAGAACCTCGTGACAAGTCTGAGTCCCGATTTGGAAATCCTTACTAGCCATTCAGCTTTTACTCTATTATGTTGCGGAGTGTGTAAATGGTACGATAGGAAGCAGTTCTAAATATCCCCCGGAACAAAACTTTGAAAATCGAAAATATTGTGTTTCTCACACGGATTTCGTGCTTTTGATCTCGGGCCGGTGGTAACCGGTGGCAGTCATCCTTGTCTCCGAGTTTCCCACCGTGCCCCCACGGCGTCGTCCGTCCCTGGCAGTGTCCCCGTGTCCGCGTATCCCCCTCACACTTGCACCCCTCCTCGGACGTGCATCGAATCGGGGAGCGACACCGGGGTGCATCTCTGACCTATACAACCAGACCCTTTCCGTGATAGCACCTTGGGGCACCGGACATTGCTACCAACCATTATTTGCTGTACCGTTTATTTCTTGAATTCATGATGTGCACACAATTGTACTGAGGATGAGAGAATGTAGAAAATGAAAAAGAATAGGATACAGGGTGTAAAGCAACCCCAAACTGACTGCAATATGTCACCAGCATGGCATCGGTCAACAGACGTCGGTTTGAGGTCAACTGCTCAAAATGATGTTTATTGATTGGCCGATCCGATTAACTTTTGACATCAAAGTACAACCGATTGACATCCGGCAAAGACGGTCCATTGACCTACACTTTCGACATCATTTTCGCATCAATAGTACGTGCTGGTGTAGACGCACCCAGGTTCTTTGATTAACCTTAAGGCGTTTGGAGAGACAGGCACGGTTTTCTGAGGAAGGATGAAAAAGGGATGGCTCTATATCTCCTTCCACCAAGTATCTTAACCTTCCAAAACAAAGACCCTTCTAAACCCTCGAAGGCTCCCCCTCCTTCACGTAACAGACTGCTGATGATTACAGCTGTTGTCGACATTGCCAGGCCCAGGACGACGCACTTATGGCACATGTTCACCATGGCATCCAGTGAGCATTTACTCTATTCTTTTGTTACCTGAAAACTGATACTGAATATAGCTGTCTGGTAATGGCTCCCTGCTTTCTGCCTTCATATTCTCCGCTGTGATTCACGACGTCTCATTGCTGCGTGTATCCTGGCTCTGATGCTTGGCAACCTTGTCCGTCATCCCTCCTTCCTTCCTTAACTAACCGGACTATTGACGACCTATCGTCGTCAATTCTTTTTTAGCCGCATTTTAAGTGAGTCGCATTTACGCCCATACATACACATTGTGCTAATGTGTACCAGGTGCCTGAATCATCCCTCCCATTATCGATCCGGTACAGTAGAATAACACAAATTTCGTCCTGTAGTTGAAATAATGGAACAGGCATGGCGGGCAAGAGAGAGGCTGTATCTTGGGGCAATATACACACATTCCGCGGGCACCAAGCTGACCGGTGGGACCTAATGTGAGCTTGTACATGCACTTTGTGGCCCGAGCTCGAGCAATACATTGTTCTTCCAGGAATGTCAAGTCTTTGAGCTCCTCCGGAACTTGCCCGATCCAAAGGCCATTTGCGTAGCTGCGCAAAGGAATCGAAACGAAAGTTTTTCTCTTGACAGCGGAATTGCATAGGTGACAAAGTACATATGAACCATTCAAAAGAGATGGTTGGTGGAACGGTTCAATCCGGGATTGATGAGACCTATTCCGAAGTTCAGCAACAGCTCTATTGGGAAGTGATATATTGAGCTCATTTATCGCCCTCAGTTTGATACAATCCGCAAATTCAAATTTACCGCAGAAAGAACACATGTCGCTGCAGCGCCTTGTTGCCAGTGGCTGTACAGTACTCACAAACGATCTCATCCTTATCGCTCTGAGACAGTAGGATTGGGAAAGGGATACTGGATGCCATGGTTTTAAAGGAAAGACGGGGAGCCTTTCGTGAACTCTCTGGCAAAGGGGTAGCTTTTCGTTTCCTGGTTCCAAGAAGCACAATTTTCAGAATATCCAACACATTGATGTGCCATTCAGAAAACCAGTGTCCCAAGCGGGTGAAAACAGTAATTGAGTACTGAGATTGCCTTCATGTTGGTTTTGCGTCACGACATCACCCGATCAATAATATTTGCAATTTCCAACTTCAACCTTAATCTCTTGGGGGCCGATTTAAACTTTAAGCAGTTCAGCTTTTGTCAACCTAAAATCAAACATTCATCTGGTTCAATGCTTATATTGACTGAGTCTTTGGGCACTCAAGCCCCATGCCAGTATGAGTTAAATCCACCATTCTCTTCGATTGATCTTGAATAACTCAACTGCTCATCGATCACGATTATTTCGGCAAAAGCACCCGAAATTGGGTGGAAGTCTCGAGGATCAGCCTGTTTAAATCTCTATTGCTCATACCACATCAAATTACAGTCACACAGATCTGACTATCTATCGCTCAGAGAGGATTTGTCGATTAATGCGGGGGGTAGGTGAGGTAATTGGACTATGACAAGCTGTGAAGGTGTTGTTGAGGTTTTCGAAAGGGGAGAAGGACGTTGAGCACAATAATCACGACTATCTGCCGATGTTGTCACAGACTAGA